GCCCGGGGACCCGACTACGTAGACACCCAAAGATCGAGTGATCTCGTCTTTCGCTTCAGTAGCGGAATCCGCCGAGCGGAAGCCGAATTCCACACGATGGTCAAGGACTGACCGTAGATGTGAGCGCAGGAGAGCTGCCTGAAGCAAGCAGTTAATGGCTGTGAGCACCATTAACTGCTGCTTCTGTGCCTCGTTGAGGCGATTGGTAATGATGCCACTTCTTTCAGAAGTTGAGAGGTTGGGAAACGGACACAGTGTTCAAAAGGTTCGAGCAAGCTCACGTCGCGCCGCTGGCGCACCCCGCCTTCCTCATCTTCCATCCTGGGAAGGAGTATTATTTTGACTCGTAGTCGACTTTCTCCGAATCCTCAACGAGGAATTTTGTCGCCCATGGTTAGCGCGGAGTGCGGTTGCTGAGGGCTTGGGATGCGTTTTTCTTGAAGTCGCGGCCGTACTGGCTGGAGTTGCACCGCGCGCAGGAGACAAAAATAGGGCTTTACCCGCGGGCGCTCTCGAAACCAGCGAGGCTGGGTGTTTTCGTGTCATAGACAGAGGGATCATTGAGCAGAGAATGCGTGAAGGACGTTTTGGTGTCTTAGACATGCGAGCCTCGTACGAGGCGATATTTAGATGAGATTGTGGGTATTCGCAATTTTGAAAGGGGGAGAGTTTAACGGGGTTACAAGTACCCTTTTCTACAGGGGTGGGTCACACAAGATGGTGTGACCACGCAATGGTGCGGCTACACCTTAACAAGATGCCACTACGTGGCCGGACTGCCAGTAGTAATGCAATTAAATGTGGTTTTACTATTTAATTATGAAATTCTATAGATTTAGATTTAGGCGGCTCTGCCGCAAAAATAAATAAATACAATTTTTAATAGCGGAAGAGTGTATTAGCCTTGGGTTAAGGTTTTGAGTGCTCTTGAAGGTAGTGGATTGCGATCCGCTACACTCATACTGGTTCTAGTATAGAACGTAAGCTCGGTGACCTGAGCTTAGCTTTTCTAAGCAAACAGCTTCGGCAGCCCCGCTGCTGATGTTCTGCGTGAGAATAAGCACTAATGTGCTTTCCTTCAGAAAGAGACCTTTTCCAGCGTGGGACGATTTATAGCAAGAAATGTCGCGAGATTTTGTACGCCTTGACTAGGCAGATCGGGTGCGTTCGAAGGTGCTGTTTACTCATCACGGGAAGTCGGAATTGGCGGTTAACTTCTAGGAGTTGCACAACCATATCACCACAGTGGCGTCTAACCCCCTCCCGAAAGGGACGCGTATACACTATCCAAGGAAGTTAACCGAACAGAAGCAACTCGCACCGAGACCTTCCGTGTTCATTTAAAGTTTATTGTTTTAGCGGTGGGTGTAACATTCGATGCGAAGTTAAATTTTCGTACCAAGAAGCCCGGATTAATATTAGCTTGGAAGCTCTATGGGTGTATCAATGGCGATGGAGGTCGGCCATGCTGACGAGAATGAGAAAAAATACTAGCTGCTGAGTAGCCTCGCGAAACTCAGAGATGCTTTGTCCGCGCTGATCCAAATATCTACTTCTTGCGTTCCCTTCGCCCTCAGCTGAGAGGTCCGAAGGATCGTGCTCTCACATAGGGTTGTCCGACGAACGCGTCGCTGGAAAACAGCGACTCAGTGGGCGCACGGCGGCCATGTAGAAGGTAATGTTTTGTATCTTGGAGTCATCGTGATCAATGCGACTGAGCGCTAAACAGGAACGTCTTACTTAAGGAAAAGTAGTGTTACTCCCTAGGGCTGTCAGTTGTGGGTATGAGCGTAAATTATGTAAAACCGTGAATTAGCGTTGTGCAATTACGTACAATGCGTGACCATCAAAAGTGGTTGGCAGTACTTGGAGGCACTGAAAACGTCAAATACGGATGCTATATCCGTGCGCCTCGCATTTGAAATATTTGAACGTCGTGTTAAGCATTGAACTAATATTTGACGACTTTGGCAGTGTAGAATGCTGTCGACTCTACAACCTGAAAACTCCACGAGTCACGTGATAACATTAGCAACAAAACACTGCTTTCCTGGCGGTGCTTTGGCGAGTCATGGGTTAACCTCGGCCAAAACGCGGATGCGCATTTCACGCGGGCGCGAAGCTGCAATAGCTTTTCTACAGAATATAGACTTGTTTAAAGCTGAAAACAATAGCGCTGATTGGTGCATCAAGCCGTTTGGAAGGCAGAAACGGTAGTAAGCCGAGGTCCCAGGATCGAAAGGGAAAGGATTATTGTATATTGCGAACTTCAGAATGTTTCTTCAGTGGGACAGTAAGGATCAGCTGTGATCTGCTGTCTTCTGTACCGAGTGCTAATCAACTGGGCGTGGCGAACATCCGTTAAGGTAAGGTATGTTGTGAAAAAGATTATTCACTCGTGAATGGAGTGACCGGTGTAGTCCTTGAAGTTTTAGGTGCCCCATCATTTCCCGTCGACAATAGATCAAATAGAGTTGGGAGCATTATCCACTTGATATACGTACCAGGAATTTCATGACGGTGAGATCGCCAAAATGGCGCTGAGCATATGTATGTAGACTTGCAGAGCACTAAGTGCGAGGAGTGGAGCTGTCATCATTTAGAATTTCAGAATACTTTTTATCCACTTTTTAAGAAATACCACGACGAGGTGATGAGTCATCCACCACATGGGTTAGCCCGGATAGGAGAGCGCGACATATAACTGACTTGTATCTTGCATTTTACTATTGTATCACACGGCAATGACCCTAACCAAGTGAATAGTGTGACGTCATGCTTTCTTTTTGCAAACACGAATCGGGTGATGTGAAATAGAGTCAATCGTCACACTTCCTGCGCTAAAACGCCAACGTTAATGGTGAATTGATCATGCTTATGATAAGCTATTTGCGACCACGAATCCGGCATCAAAGTCGATTGTTATATAAAGGATATACTGCCGGACAGGATTGTCGACTGCACTTTACGCAGTGTCCTCATCTGGTGAAGGGTGTAATCAATGACCAATAAAAGACAAGCGAAATATATTTCACTGCAGAAAGTACTCCGGAAGGTATGCTTTGAAAATGACACTAGACAGTTAGTTATATGCACCAGCGTTGCTCAACGTCTGATAACACAGCTTACTAGATCACATCAACGCTACGATCAAAACTGTTTCGACGATAAATTCCGATAATTGTCGTACTTATGAGCTGTATTTGAAGATGTACGTTTTGATAATCTATTCTGTCGCCGACAACCTTCTCGTTTTGGGCTGGTTCACCAAAAAAAGGACTTGCGGCAGATTTCGCAATGAAAGTTTGTGTAGCTTGGCCAGCTACTTAAATAAGTTCAGTACAAACTACGTCGACACGACGAAACCTCTGACCAATCTTTTTTGAGTAATGTTGTGGTTCATCAGAAGAGGTTGCTTTTTATATCTGTAAGAGGAGGTCTTATGCGTGCCACGATCTCGGGTTTTCCAAATTCAGATGGACGATTTCATGCCATCTGTGACCCTTCAGCCTTTGCAACATGCTATGTATAACTATAAGCAGATGCCAAAGGGAATAAACGCGTGATCGCGACTGAGTCTTGTCAGCTTGACTTGCCAAAAGGAACTAACCCATTCATACAGAGAAGTTTTTTGCAATGAAGTATGCCATCGTCAAGTTCAGAGTTCATCTTTCGGTCTAAGTTGCTTAAGATTAAACAGACGATACGTCGTTGTGCACAGCAACGTCATCACCACATTTCCCATCGTGCTTGTAGTAGAGCAAGCTACTCTTGATCCAGGTTCAGCTGCTTTTCAACGAGTTGGGCAACGTTGTAGGCTCCACGGTGGCGCTTCGAGACAATCGCATTCGATGAAAAAGGGTACAGCGTTCATAACCCATGCAGTGAAGAGGCTACGTCAGTGAGTACCCCCACTATGAGGAGCTGCTAGGCCTTAATTGAGGGCTGAGGTGCTTGGTCAGAACACGGAGATTCACTCCGACCGTTCTGCCGTACAACACCTCGGTGTCCTCATCAACAATTTGTAACAGGAATTGCCAGTCCGTGTACACACACTTTCGAAAGAAGGCTTAATAACTGACACGCCCAACTGAGTGTTGCTTGCTTTCAGCGGGCCGTTGACTTACGTAGAGGTAGGAAGGATGTAGTGAAATTTATTATTGTAGCCAGTAGGCTTTGAACCTACTTAACCTGATAAGTACTTTCATTTCTTATACAACAGAACTGAAAGGGGATATACAAATATGCAGGATGTTCAGTTGATGTGAGACACACAAAGGATGCGATCCACACAAAATGTGTCACAGAATCTGACCCATTACAGATTTTTCTTATTTCTTTGGTCGCGTAGACCGCGCTTTTATGAGGCTTATTGAGCCATTTAATTTAGTACAAGGGAGGGGTCTCTTGGGTCAGCTTTGAGGAACAGGCGCAGTAAAGAGCAGAGGATGCACTTGAGCTTCAGGCGCATTGGTTGCTCGTGGATAGGTGCGTTCAGAAGACAAGATAAGCGTGAATCTTAATGTGCCCTGACATATAACAATATCAAATACAATTCGAAACAATCGTGCGAAATTCACATCGCACTTGGTATATCGAAATATCGGTATATATGGAAACATGTGGGCAGGTCAGAAATTTAAATAGTTGTTTTATTGGGGATAGTAAATGTATGTATAGTATCAGTCGACGTAACATTTCTTCTAGATGTTTACAGATGAAACAATACACCTACTTACAGTGTAGGTTTTCGGAACCGCTTTTGGTAGGAACGCTTGATAGACGCGAACCCTTAGAGTCAAAGATATCTATCCAAAGTACCTGACAATCTCTTTGCATATATTTACAAGATTAGCGGCTTATTTGAGCATTCGCAAAATTTGAGGTCCAATTTTTTCAGAGTGCTTTAATTTTGGTCAATTTTCGTACGGGATGATTTCATGTCATAACGGAATTAGTGACACAGAACTACACATCCAACCAATCTTGAAAACAAAACGATGCTTTCAAACGGCCTGAAATCGTGCCATTGGTTAGTGCTATCGGCTATCTTACTGCTTGTCGAGACCGCACGTGCGCTTCCTGCAGACGAGCATAGTGAGTTGTCCGTTTCAAATACCGAGTCTGAGTCACCTGTAACAGTGCCTGACTTCGTTGCCACGAGCGAATGGCAGGAGCTGCTACCTGATCAAGTTGTGCCGCGGGTAAGTGATTCAGTGGTTGCAATGCGAAAACTGGTTATCGTATAATTTTGTCCAATTTCTGCGAAGGGGCTACACATTCGTTTGAACATGGAAACTGGTAAGCGTGAGGCGAAGATGGTAGAGACAGACAAAGAGTCAGAGGAACACATGCGCGCGATAGCTATCGGATCAAACGCTCAAGAAGCTACAATTTCAGTGGCGACTGATATTTCCGGAAACGTCGTGATGGGAGAAATTGCGGATGACATACACCTTGCTACCGATGAAGGGGATAAATATGATGCTTTCGAGGATTACAGTGGTAATGGAGAGTCTAACGATGGGGATCAAGACGAAGTACCACCAGCAGAGCCAAATTGGAATCACGAGAAAATGTATGAGGTTCTGCAGGCTCTTCCCGAGCCACCTAAAATTGATGGCATGGATATACATTTGGCTCACGATAAGCTGACTGCGGCGGAATTCCGCAATCAAATTGTCACTCTCTGGAAGAGGCGTCAAGCAGAGCTTAAAGTGGCCCTGGAGTCGCTTCAGGACGACGCCAAGTATCTGGGCAAGTTGTTGCAACAGCTTAACGAGGCTGAACAAAGGGGTGACACGGATAATCAGCTGTCTGTGCTGGAGGTGCTCGAATGGGAAGTGCAGGATCTCGACAAAACACACGTATTTAACTACATTGGTGGATTTGGCGTTGTAGCTAAGTATTTGAATTCAACCATCTTACCAGTTCGAGCAAGTGTCGCGTGGGTTATTGGATCCGCGGTCAAAAATTATAGAGATGGTCAGGAGTGGGCAATTGATGCCGGATGCATTCCATTGCTGATTGAATCGTTAAAACTAAAGTCTTCATCTGACAAGAAAGATGCGACAGATGTTCTTGAAGTGAAAAAGAAATCAATTTATGCACTGTCCTCCATTATACGAGCTAATGCGCGGGGACAGCGCCTATTCTTGCTCCATGATGGGCCGGGGATTCTTGCTGGAATATTTAATGATGCTTACCCTGCAAAACTTCAGTTAAAGGTAACCTTCTGCTGCAGATTAATTTGCGATTCAAAAATTACAATGTCAATTTGTCGAATTACAGGTGCTTTTTTTCGTGTACGACCTGATGGTTGAAGCCTCAGCAATGTCGCTGCATCACACCACCGGACTAGAATCCGCCTTGATTAACCTTGCTAAAACTTTTCAGTCTTTGGAGTGGTGTGAGCGATTTTCAACGACTTTTGTCACAATGGTACGACTGCCTGTGAAGCTATTCTGGACTTTCTTTTCTTAGAACCTAAATGCACCGTACTGCTCCCGAATAGGCACCGCAACTTGCTCACCGACAGGTTATAGAGCTTGTCGATGCCTTAAGGCATCAACTTCCGAAATGCCAACAAATTTACCAGGTATCAGGTGTCAAGAGCGTTGTAGGGGTGCTGTCGAAGCGCTTAACCGAAGATGCGGAGCTAGATGCAGAAGAGAAAAAAGAGTTGGCCATGCTTTTTGAAGATTTTCAAAGTCGTTTGTGAGAATTACTTCGCAATCAACTAGTGTAGTGGGGAAATATTGCTCTGAAGTCTACCTTCAAATCTAACATTAGTTTGCAATTAAGAAATTTACGTTTGTTTAAACATTATAATCATGTTTTATGATAGCCATCAGCCAGTATATTTATACAGGGAAAGAACTCCGTTGCTGTAAATCGCAGTACATATAGTTTTATTATTGGGGTGAGAGAAACGTACATATTCAGTATTAGTAATTAATCCTGTACAAAGTGTGTAACTTGGCCTTCAATTTTTTACATCGTTTGTTTTCTCTAAAAGTATTGAGACGAGCAACTAAGCCACAAAACAGCTTCTTCGCAGCAATACAGCAATTCCTAGCCCAGAGACAAGAAATGAAGAGGTACAACAAACCCGATGATAACACCTTGAAGCAATGACCAGAATTCGAACGGGTGGCAGTACGCCAGTGTGCCACCACAGAACGGATCAGAAAGACAATCTTGTCTGGAGTACCGTGCTTCAGTGGTGTTTTCCTTTGGCTGGTTTGTACAAACATTCCACGCTCATGACATACGAACACAGTTACTTGGCATCGTTTGAGTGGATTTGAACTTTACATCCACGTACTTTGCTTTGCCTTCGCCATGCTCGAATCGTTCTGCTTTGCACTTGCACGATAGTAACTTGATTGCCCATCTATATGTTCACAGCAACTTGGTGGCAATCAGCTATACTGGTAGCTCTTTCAGTCCAAGTAGCTCTTCAGCACCTACCGTTGCAGCAACGTTCTCATTCGATAGTGGCTGCTTCTTGCATTATCATGACACCATCATGCCGTTTTACTAGAATGACAGCCGCACTCAATATCATCGGATGTTCTTGTCGGATGCAAAACATTGCATCAGTGGTTGGTCGTATGTGCAACAATAGCTGCATAGCCTTGCCATCGCCTGACATGACAATCTAAGTGCCTGGCTAACAGTTTACTTAGTGCGTTTATCTGGATATCAGAAAAAGTATGAAAACGTTAATTTCCAAGGTCTTAGCTTTAGTATGTGACGATCAAAAGGATATGCTTAGCCAGTTTCGATCCGTCTTCGTTGGTACATGCGTGCGTCGTGATGCTCGGTGTACAACAAACATGACGTCGGGACGTGAGGATTTTGCGAACCACAACGAATTACTTGCTAGAGACAGTAAGCTTGTAAAACTTCGCGCTGTCTGGAAGTAGCTCAACCAGATAAATTTCAGCGAAGTCTTCTCCTCGATTCAATTCTCGAACTCCCTAAACCCTAGTAGCTCCACGTGCATTTCAACAAAGGTATTCGCGAGACCCAAATTTCTAAGCTTCAAGCCTGCCACGCTATCAAAAAGTGGAAAAATTCATATCTGATCGGTGGTCAGTCGTCAACAAATGTGCTAACTACCATGAATTCATCACTGTCACCAATAAAGTTTACTTACGGGTCCGTAATGCACAAAATAAAACCAAGCTTGACCACAAGTAACACAGGCACATATGCTGGAGGAGTCCAGCCTGCTCCAGTACGTATAAACTCTGACCATTCAAAAGCCTGACTTCTTTCGAGAATTCAGCTACCAGTGTCTTGAGCTCTCCATAAAAATAATGCAAAGTCTTGGTGACTTCCTTCAACGGAGTTGCCACTCACTTTGCGCGGACGAAGCTTGTACTTGTAGAGTCCGCGTTAGCCAATGTAAAGAGGATAGTTTATATGGGTTGTCCCTCGTATGCCGAACTGATCGCATCTTGAGTTCAAAATACTGAACAACTGCACAAATTGAATTTGAGATGCCTTCAAAAACCGCATCTGTGCATTGTTCAGGAGACCAGCGCATAATGTTACGTGACAAGTTAGCGTATTTTACATTTTACTACAATGGCTCGCTAATGGGTCGTTAGCACATTCAGTGCTTGTGCACGAATGCGCCTTGCTTTTGCACTAGGTTCATAGGAGATACCCCGGAATTACATGTACAAATAACTAAACTAAACCGCTTTGACAATGGAGTCCGTCAATTACAAGACAGCTCCACTATGAAAGGGCCAACCTGCCAGAGTATCGTATGAAGCTGATTGCATTTAACCAAGTCTTGCTTCCAATACTTCTTTATGCAGATGTGTTTGTGGTACATGCGAAGCTTTTCGCTTTCCTTGGCGGCAATTTTGACCTGTCAGCAAGTCGTACTCATCTCCACTTTCAATAAAGACAATGCTCATCCTTTAAAATCATTTTTCATTATAATTGATCACAGTTGTGTAGTGTTCCAGAAAAATCTCACACATTTTTGGCAGTGCGAAATTTGTAGGCTTCTGAGATTGTTAAATGTATGTGGAGACAACCACTAATAAACTGTCAACAAGTCATCCAACGCCTTATTTCTCCATCAATTAGGTCGTAGTCATCGAATGCTTGCAAATGTAGAGTTTCGTTAGTTCGAAACATTTTCCAGCTTGACCAGACAGGAAACGTGGTCAATGTTTTCATCGAGCCGGTTGTGCGCCAAGTCATCCGATAAGGGCTCTATTCCACGGTAGAAGTTCTGATTCAAAGGATCACGTTAGCGACATGAAAAAATCCGTGTGCTTCTACTAGAGGTGGAACCGAGAGCTCTCAAGTTAGAATATTGTCAGTTTGCTCTACATATTCTAGAGTACATACATTTAACATTAATTCTATTTTGAAAATACTTCATATATATGGAACTTCTTGATAATGAAGTTGTCTCCATTGCTTAACTTGTTATTAGTGCACCAAGGAAATCACGGACCCTCCTGTTCGAAGTTCCGTTACATTCGATTTTCTGGCACACTCAAAATGGCACCATGCGTAATGTGAACTTTGCTCAATTGTACTGTATTCTTTTTCATATTTATTTAGAATCGTACCATTTGAGTATGTAACGGGGTTACACGAATCCTAATAACAGGGGTGTGTGCATAATGTGACCACACACCCAAACAAGAAGACGGGATG